AGATTGGTTCCAGGATGTGGTGAATTAGAACCAGGAAGAAGCTTCCAAGGAAGAAAATACTGAGAAAAGCCAGTAGAACATAACAGCCAATGAAGAACTTGTCCATAATCTAGATTATAGAGAAAAACAATGTCAAAAGTGACAGCTATTGGGCTGTTTTTCACTTTAACATCTTAATTATACTAAGTCTGAGATCTCTGGTTAGCAAAGTTCTCCAATTCCTAGATGTTTATAACTTTCAGACACTACCCCATCCTGGCTTTCCCCTATAAACAGAAAATGGATTTCCCTTTTAGAGCTGAGGTGAATTAGTTTTAATGAACTAAGAGGCTAAGGGTTTAGAAAACACCTAGAAGAGTTCTAGAAGGATCATTAACTCCACATTCCCTGGATGATATTTTCTAATCTAAGACTGCCTGCCTTAACGTAAAGCCAGGTTAAGCCCCTGATAGGATAAACCTTAAACTAATACTCTGTAGCATTCATCTGAAGTATGTGGCAACTTTATAAATACACACCCACTCAACATTCCTAGGACAAATGTGACTAACCAATTGTTTGCAACACCTGCCTGAAATATTTGTTTCAGTAACATCCCAAAGTCCTATGCTGATCATTTAAAGAAATCAATAACTATCAACCAGTCACACTGGAAGATTCTGGTTGTGACACTGACTGAAACCTAAAGTTAGTAATGATTTTAGCCTTTTAGCTCCACTATCATGTTAACTGGTCTCAACTCTACTCTCCCTAAGTTCATATGCTGATAACCTACCAAACTAGCTAGGCAGAGATACAAACAGAGCAAAAAGATAATGTCACAGCTTCCAAGGTTTTTGAACACAACACCTGGCAGATAATCCCAAATGCCCAAGTGGAGATCCAGACACAGAGAACCTGTCAAACCAAGCACAAGTGTGATTGCTGAGATCCAAAGACCCCAAGAAGAAAAGGGCTGCAACCACCCTGGCTGCTAAAGGGGATTGCCTCATGCTCAGCTTACAACAAAGGTCAGTTTGACGAAACAGCTTTAACATAAGTTTGACCTTGGCTCTAGTACAGAACAAGTCTCTTGCGGGCTACATGTTTGCTCGTTCAACACGTTTCACTTTTTATTTAGCCAAATAGCAAGTCTTGGTGGCAGAAGGCCCAGGTCATGTACTGTTGATGCAGTATTGAGCCAGGCTGCTGCACGGAACAGTTCTGGAAATCCTGCAAATAAGAACTCCAAATTTGCTGGCCAGGCTGACAAGCAGATTTTGCCCAAACCCTACTTTTCTCTCTAGCCTGGGACTCCTGTGACACAGGGTGATTGATTTTATAGTAACTTCTTTTTCCACGGGGCTTTTCTTCTAGAATTCATATCTGCAGTAGCTCAAGAAAGAAGGCAGCCAACATTTTCTCCATTTCAGAGATGGGGAAATTGAAGCAGAAACTTGCCCCAGTTCATATATATAGATAGACAGCACCTATAATGGCAAAGTGATTTTCTGAAACATTAGTAGAGATCTTGGCATTTAAAAATACAATTCCTCAAATCTTAATAGAAAACATTCTCATAAGTTTTCATAACTAACATGTTTATTCTTGGCAGTTTTAGGCAGAACTATGAGTTATAAAGATCACAGAGGTTCCATTTCAGCCCATGAACAGTTCTCTATAGGGATTCTGTGGCAACAATGATAGTTCCTGCTATTTCTACTGGGTTGCAGGCAAAGGAGAAAAAACTAAGCTTAGCTTGCCTCCCATCTCTTGTCAGAAAGGTGCTGGGCTTCAGAATAAAGACTACGTTTTCAGACATGTCTAATGAGTGATTTTGCTTTACTGTACTGATTGGGGGAGGGGATGGGGGTAGGGAAGGGAGGTTATTTTATTGGGGGAGGGTAGAAAAGTCAGTGGGAAGTGACAGTGAAGTAAAAACAAAAAGCATCAATAAAACATTTAAAAAGAAAAAAGAAATCATAACTTAGGCTCTGACTAAGAAGTAAGAGTTCTTGGCCCTTAAGGGAAAAGGCCAAAATTTCTCCATCTTGGCCTGGCATGGAATAATGAAACTAATCATTGCTTTGGGAGGACTGGGGCTTAGGGGATTGCTAGTAAGGAAGTACAGCATAAGGAACCATTTTTAGGGGCATTTCAGGAAGGTGAACCACACTCTGATAAAGGTAGCAATTTTGTGATGAAATTAAAAGCTTAACAGCTTTGTATAGATATTTGAGCACTGAGGGAAGGTAGGAGACAGGAAGCCAAAGTACATGAACAAGGATCTGAGACCAGATATCATTCTATGGCACAGCTATAATCTTTTACGATAATGAAATGGATCTTGGGGCAGTGACAACAAACTATTGGCAGATAAGCTGAGAATGAAGCAAAAGAGGGATCACAACAAGATTACATTTATGGAATCCTTTTATAACTTACACATTATACATTACCTTCCTTACCACAAACCTATGAGGTGGGTAGAACAACTATCATTCCCTTTTTACTGATGAGTAAAGTGAGGCTTAGACAGGTTAAGGACATTACACATAGCTAGTTTAAGTTCTGGAGCCAAGACTTCTGACTTCAAGTTGTGTCCTCTTTTTACAGCACCCTGCTGCCTCTCCATAGAGTTTCTCCATACTTCAGCTTTCAACAGAAAATGCTTCTCTTTGCTGACTGCTTTCTTCAATGAGGAACTATATTCTCCACTTAACAGATGGAAAAATTTACACTGAAGAGGAAAGGTATGTCATTCAGCAAGTCTGGGTCCCTACAAAGTTTAAATTGGCTTTGAAGGCTATACTGCTTGTTTGATGTGATAGAGGTTCAAAAAACATCATACAGGCACATAAATGTCAGTAAAGATTCAGAACTGGATTATTTTTCTTAGAGAATGGGCAGAAGGGGAATTAAAAACTCCCTCTGTACTTTCTCCTTCACTGTTCTGCCACCACATCTCTTCTAATATCACATAACAAATCAATCCTACATCAGGGAAGGTCCCATTAGATTTGGGAAAGGAAGAATCACAATTTGAAAGGCAAAAAGAAACAGAATTTTACCTTAATTTCTACCTCTGGGGTTGGGACCTCAGTGGCCCGGGGAAACAACAACAGAACTGATGTGATGATCACAGCAGCAAGGAAAACAAAAGTGACAGAGAACCTGAAAGACAAATACACAAGTATTAAAAGCACTGTTCACATTTTCCACCAAAGTGTTGAGCTTAGACTGTTCTTGGGAGCCAGTATTATAGGCTCTACTCCCACAACAATGCTCACAGGGCCTGTTGTCCATCTAGCTCAGTAAATTTAAGAGATTTTTCTAAAGGCATCCTCTTGGTCCTGTTTTATATAGGTACTAGATAGAAGTATTCCTAGCATGATCCAAATCATAATGTTGCAAGTTTGGGGCCTTTGCCTCTGATCATATATGCACACTGTAATAACTATAACAATTCAAGTCAAAGCAGGCTTTTTCTGCATAAATACTCAGGTACTCCTACAACCCTCCTCTTCACTCTGGCAGCACAGGCAGAACATCCATAGCTTAGCACACTTTCAAAGGTTAGTATGTGGTCTTAGCTTCACAATCATTGACGGTTTGGAGTATTCATTGCTCCTTCAGTTTCTCTGGGCCCAGACGTAGAGCTTCAGATAAAGAACTAACCAAATTCTAGAAATCTAAACAATCATCATCATCATCATCATCATCATTATTATTATTTTGCAAAATGCAGAGAAAGTAGATTTCCCTATATTTCTGTCATGTTTTTCTACCTCACAGTGAAAACTGAAAAAACAAATCTTCCCCTTTAGACCATAAATAACAATTAGGGTTTATGATAGGCTAAAATGCAACTCATTCAAACTGCCAGTAATTACAAAAATGATCTCCTGAATTCTAAATGTTTAATGAGTGTCAGCGATTTCATCTCTAATTGCTTTTACCTAGGACTCCCAGCTGGAAAGAACATCTTACCTAGCTAGACCGGAGGCTCTGCATAACAGCACACGCAGCAGCAATACCAACACCCAGAGCAGTGCTAAGATGAATACTCCTGCACCCACTCCAAGTACAGTGCCAGCCATTCTACAGAAGAAAGGAAACATCAGCATCACTGCTCTGCCACAAGAACAGGATTAAATGTCCTATGTGCTCCATTTGCCTTCTTCCGTCCTCATATTTCCAGTTTTTATTAAGCCATTCATTTGTGTGAAGAAAGCCCAAACTTGAGCACAAATTGACTGGGGAGGTGGGGTGTTAGTGGAAGGATGGGATTTTCTGATTAATATGTGAGGAAAATTAACCAGGGCAGGTTATGAATTTCTAGAAATGTTCAGTCCTTGGACCTCTTAATAGACACTGGAAATTCAGGACACAACTTTTTCTGCTCTATGTTTACTGCTTGAAATCTGGCATATGTGTACTAGCTTGTTGCTATCACTAGGCTGTAACAGCTGGACTTGTGTGGTGTACTTTGAAACAAGATCTAGCATCAAATTCTGGCTTTGAAAATTACTAGCTGTGCAACCAGGGGCAAGTCTCTGGACTTGTACAAACCTCACCTTACTAAATGGGAAAGCATAAAGTACTTTTTACACAGCAACACAAAGTGTAAGCACTTTGTGAAACGATATGAGTAAGTCTTGTTCTGCTACCACGTTATCTCACTGGATGAACTAAATTTATGGGGCAAACATGTGGACATAAAAAAAATTAACTATCGGAGGCTGGGGTGACACAATGGATAGAACACGGGATTTGGAGTTAGGACCTGGATTTAATTCTGAGTTCTGTTAACCACCTGTGTGACCTCGGGCAAATCACCTTTCTCTGAGCCTCAATTCCTCTCCATAAAATGAGGGAGCTAAATTAGCTGACCTCTGGGGTCCCTTCCAACTTTAAAGCCAAGATTTTAGGACTCTTTTTCCACTGTTCTACAGACTGAACCACATCTCTAGAAGCAGCACTGGTCAGCTGTAGACTATGTTACACACAAGCACATGTGCCTCCAATCTCCCCTCTTTCATCCTTCACATAGTTCCCAATCAGGTCATTTCCTGCTCAAGAAACTTCAGTGGCTCCCCTTTGCCTGTGGGATTTAAAGCACTTCAAAATCTGGCATCAGTTTACCTTTCTAGGCTAATTACACATTGCTTGCCTATGGCCACTGTATATACCAGTCAAACTGATCTATACACTGTTCCTCAAACATGACAGTTCATCTGGTCTTTAATTTTTCACAAGCTATCTCATGCTTAGAATGTACTCCCTTAAGTAAAACCAACTGAACAAGCATTTATTAGCTACCTGCTATGTGCCAGGCACTGATATACAAACACAGAACCAAAACAGTCTGTGTCTTCAAGTAGCTAACATCCTACTACAGGGAAAAAACAGACACAGATAAAATTATATCTAAAAGAAATATATTAGTAATTGAGGGTAGAAGAATTAATAACTGGGGTAATCAGGAAAGGCTCATAGGTGGTGATACTTGAGCTAAGCAATTTAGGTAATCATTTTATACAACAACAAATTACAAATTGACACTACGTAGATTTGTGAACCCTTCCAACAATTCAGATCATAACCCACCCATTCCCATCCATCTTCGGTTGATGTCCTGTAAGTTTGCCACCCAGCATGCTGGAGACCTTCCTCATTTTTCTGTAATACCATGATAAAACAGAGGGCCTGACCATCAATTATTTCCTCTGCTCTCACCATTTGAAGAGTCAATCTTTTTCTTGATACACTTCTTTGGTGACAACTATAAATTGAGTCTCCTTTGTAATGTGTTGTCCCTTATTCACATCCACTATGTGCTTCTCTACTTCTTGTCCAATTTCTTCAGGGTTCAAGTATTACCTTTTATAACAAGCCTATCCCTTCATTTACTAGTGTCTTTCCCTTCCCTACCTACCCAAAGTTGTATTTGTATTTACTTTGTAACTACACAGAATGGTGTTGTGCATAGAAAGAGGTCTCTGGAATTAGGAAGACAAGCCTCTGACATATACTGACTGTAACCCTGGGCAAGTCATTTAACTTGTCATTTTAAGATTATAAATCGAAGAAGTTGCAAATCTGCATTGGTAAAAGGAGTTCCCTCACCTGACACTCCTTCCATTAATGAAATCCCAGTTACAGATAAAAATATATAAATATTTTCCATTTGATTATCTGTTCAAGTGTTTTTCCCCAATAGAGAGAGTGAAAGTGCCTTAAGAGCAGGGCCTATTTTGCTTTTGTATCTGTATTCCCAGTACCTGGCATACAGTAGGCACTCAGTTAACGTTCCTTGAAAGGATGAGTATGCCTTGGAGGAGGAAGAAGATGTACATGCCATTTATGGAGATCACACTTTGGGGGTTATGGTTTTTTCCCCCCAACTTCCTTTCCAGGCATTTCTTTTGAAAATAACTCTGTAAGGCTGCACAAATCCCGCCAATGATAGACTCTTCTCTGAGTACACAGAGAGGCAGAAGACGGAGGTCTGGGAGATTGTTTCTGGTCTGTGGATTCAGACCAGTGGCCATGCGATTTCTCATCTTTCAAAAGCATTTCCTGGGCTACAGGTCGAAGCCTGATTTGAATCTGCAGCAGGGGCTGTCCATCTCTACTGCTTACAGTCATTAGCCCACCAGGAGGACAACAGACCATGTACTGTGCTTAGCTTCGATTTCCAGCTTTGTTGCTAAAGTATTCATTCCTCACCCGCACACCTGAGGAAGGGATATCAGCCTTTTCACAAGGGTACCTGAACTTGCAAAACCTACGACAGCACTGAACTAGATGCTACATCTCCCAAGCGCAAAGAAGACAAAAGCAACGGCCCTTCCCGTAAGATAAAGGACCAAGGGCCAAGGCTGTGATAGAATGGATAAAAGAAACTCCCCCTACCCATGCAAGCCAACACTCTGTCTGCAGGACAGGGTCGAATAAAGCTGCCCCGAGCACCGAGAGGTTCAGAGATTGGCTCAGGGTACCACAGCCGGCCCATGTCAAAGGCGGCACGTTAAGTCCGGTCTTTGTGCTTCCGAGGCGAGCCCCATGTAAATGCCGGGCCCTTTTCTGGCTCCAGTGAAATGTTACTGTACGGGCAGGGCGGGGGGGTGGGGTGAGGGCTGCGAGGAAAAGACGCTGGATCGGGGCCCCACTTCCTGCTGCCTTCCCTGTCCCTTCGCCTTCAACCTCTTCCTCCAGACTCGCTCTCCTCAGGTCCAGTGTACAGCCTCACCTCCTTCCCCCAGCACCTCCCCTCCCCATCCCCTCAACTGGCTAGCCCTCTCCCCAAAAGCCGACCCAAGGCCGTCTCTTTGTCACACAACTTCCAACTCTGGTCTAACCCCTTCCCGTAGACGCCTCGTTCTAGCGACAGCGAATCACAAGTGGTTTCTCAGCTGCAACCTCCCCTACCCACCAATCGGAGGCGGCCGCCCAAAAGTTCATTCCTCCTTCGTTACATCCTCCAATGGAGATGGGAGGTTACTTCATCGTGCCTTACTATTGGTTAATGCTGGAAAGAGTCCCGGGCCCTATCTCGAATCATTGGTTAATTTGTCTTGAGGGCGGGCCCCTGGGCGGAAGAGGGTGATTTACCCTTCTTTGTTTCCATGGAGACCTCCCTAGCTGCTTCCATTCCTGAGAGGCGGAGGTGTATGTCGCCCCGCCCCGTTGTTATGAATCTGAGGGACTTGGTGGATTCTACTTTTGACTTATCACTACGTGGATCCCTCTTATGTTCCTTTAGTTTAGGGGGGATGCTTGGGATCCCCCGGATCCTCCGAATCCTCCGAATCCTCCGAGAGGGCGGTCCATGAACATTGCCTACACTCTGACAGAAACAGATCCCCTCTTCTGGGGGCCATTCCAGGGGCCTCTGGTAAATGTAGGAGTTGGATATTATTTTCCTCTCCTTTTACACACGAACCTTTCATGTGGAAGGAGAAGGGATTATTCTTCCATTAGTGTAGACGGAGGTAAATCTAGCCTAGAAGTGGCAAAGGAATGCCCCAGGAATCACGCTTCCATATCTCCCATCATTCTCTTATACTTGGTTATGTTTTGCCTTGCATTAAAAAAACAACTTTTCTCCTTAAAAAAAAAAAATTCCCCAGACAGTCTCTTTCTTTGCAAATGAGTAAATAAATTTGTTGTGCTTGTTAAGAATGGGGAAACAAAAGTGCACTTAAGGATAGTGGTGGGAACAAGAACATGGAATGATTTCAAGAATAGTCTCAAATGTATATCTGTGTATAGATAATTATAGTACTTAGCATTTGTCAAAACTCTGCCAGAGAACCTGAGCATTTTGTACACATTTTCTGATGAATGATTGATTATTTAACATTTCCATAGCATTGAAAGATATCAAATATTTTGATAAGCACTAATCATTGGTTAAACCTTGGCATTCTGGGGTGTTAGGCAAATAATAACTTGTGCTGTTCCTTTCTTATGACGGGAATACTAAGACAAAGTAGACTTTCATAGCATCACAATGTCCTGAAAATCAAGGACACTAAGTTCTCAAGTGGTCAGTTCCAATAGCTACTTTGATTGAATTTACCAGACCATATTTAGTCAACAGTTTAGTACTCATACAGTGTATAATGTATAGATTTTGTTTCTTTTGTTTATAAGACTTCGAAGTTAGTTAAATATGAGTTATTCTTTACCTTTAGAATAGGTGGCTAAGGGAGATTATGATACTAGAAAGGGTTTTTTGTTTTGTTTTGTTTTGTTTTGTGGTTGAGTGGTTTCAGTCATGTCCAACTCTGTGACCCCCTTTGGGGTTTTCTTGGCAGAGATACTGGAGTGGTTTGCCATTTCCTTCTCCAGCTCATTTTACAGATAAGCTGAAGCAAACAGGGTCAGTTACTAAGTGTCTGAGGCCAAATTTGAACTCAGGAAGATGAGTCTTTCTGACTCCAGGCCTGGCACTCTATCCACTGAGTCACTTAGCTGCCCTGAGAAAGGGTAATATATAGTTTTTAAAATTATTTAAAAATTTTTTGAACTTAAGAAATACCAAATAAAGTCAGCATTTACATATATGTAGTTTTTAAGAAAAAAATTAAGAAGAGAAAAGCAGTCAACAAAGCTGACCAAATACATCCAGAAAATCTGGAAATATATGGAATATTCCACCCTTGAGGACATGTATCTGCAGAATAGTAGAGGAAAGTGCCTTCTCATAGCTCTTCTTTGGGGTTATTCTTGTTTGCAGCTTTGTGACATTCAATTTTTTGTGTGGTTGTTCTTTCCATTTACATTCTTGTGGTTGTGTATATTGTTTTCTTGTCTCTGCTTCATTTTGCATCACTTTATATGTTTTTTCATGCTTCTCTGTATTTATCATATTTATTGTTTCTATAGCACAGTAATATTACCACAGTTTGTTTAGCTGTGACCTCGTAAATGAGCATCTACTTTTTTCAGTTCTTTGCTACTTCAAAAAATGCCGCTATTTTGTTTTATGTGGAATTTTTATTTTTATCAATGATCTCCTTGGGGTATAAGCCTACTTGCTGGTGGAATCTCTGGGTCAAAAGGTACTCACATTTTAGTCAATTTATTTTCACAATTACAAAATTACATCCAGAATGGTTGTACTAATTCACAAATCCACAGATATATTGGTATACCTATTTTTCCAGAACTTCTGCACATTGACTTTTCTCTTCTTTTGTTATCTTTACAGATTTGCTGAATGTGAGGTAAAACCTGAGTTTTTCGGTGTTGCATTTCTCCTCTTATTATTAGTGATTTAGAACACTCTTTCATCTGGTTGCTAATTGTTTGCAATTCTTTTGAGAACTGTTTGTTTATAGACTTTGACAACTTTTCTATTAGGGAGTAGCTTTTGGTCTTATACAGGTATCCTAAAAGTCTTAGTGTAGTTTAAACTTTAATAACTATTATTGTCTATAGATCTGGGATACCAAACCTTATTTAAAAAATTTGATACAAAATTTTTTTCCCCTATAACACTTCCTTCCTTATCCTAGATATGAACATTTTGTTTGTACAGAAGTTTTTCAGTTTTACATAATCAAAATGATCTATTTCACCTTTTGTAATTGCCTGTATCCTTTGTTTAGAATGTCTTCTACCCATAGCTGTGAAAAGTATATGATCTGTTTCTCTTTTAATTTTTTCATAGTATTATCTTTAATATTCAGGTCATATGTTCATTTAGAATTTATTGTGGAATATGGTGTAAGATGCTGGTCTAAGCCTAATTTCTGCTAGACTCCTTTACATATTTTTCCCAGCAATTTTTAATCAAATAGGGAGTTGTTTCCTAAGTAATTTATGTTTTCTGGTTTGTTGAACACTGGTGGTTGAGTTCCATTATTTTTGATGTTCGCTTTTCTAGTCTGTTCCATTGATGTACTCTATTTTTAACTGCTGCCAAGTGGTTTTGATAACTGCTACTTTATAATATAATTTAAGGTCTGGTAATGCTCTTCCACCTTTATTCCTACTTTATTTTTTTGGAACAGGCAACACATATTTATTAAGGGCTTGGGAGACGGTACCCACAGAGTGCTTTAGGAACAAAGTCCATAGAGTCAGAAACACAACCAGTAGGAGAATGTAGAATGGTAAGCTTGGTCCTGTCCCTAAAATGGAGGCCTAGAAGGAACTTACCAATGGGAGAAGGGGATTAGTATGGCAGAGAGATGTTCCAGGGTATTTCATTATTTTCCTTCGTATTCTAGATCTTTTGTTCTTCCAAATCAATTTTATTATTTTATCAAGTCTTATAAAGACAGTTCTCACTTTATATAAATTTGCATTATGCAGCTTTGACTTTAAGAAATCTGAAAGAAATCTGCATTCCAAAAAACCGCCTATGTTAACTTTACTCTACTCTCTCTCAGTGCTCTATGGCTGCTTAACCACCTGCTCCTCCCCAAAGAAAAAAAAAAGAACAAACAACCCTCCCAAGAGAAAGCAGAAGAACAGATATATGGAGATAAGGACAGAAAGATTGCCCCAATACCTGCCTTGGCTTGAGACCTCCAGCACCAAGGCCCATGGATCTGTCTTCTTTTAGTCCAAGCTTGGCTACCATGTCTGTCCCCAGACCCATGTGTTCCTCCTCCTGTTTTTCCTTCTCTGTCTTTGGCTCCCAAGTATCCTTGAACCATATGCTGGCCCCTCCCTCCACTGGCACACAATTCCCTTCTTGCCTTCCTTCCTCCTTTCCTTCTCTGTCCCTGTGGAAATTCCCTGGACAGTCCACTTATGCAAAGCAAGAACTGTCTGTAGCCCTTTGATAATTTGATTGGTGTAGTATTAAAACTATAAACTAAATTTAGTAGTATTTTCATTTTTATTACATTGGCACAGCCCTGCCATGAACACTGAATATCACTCCATCTCTTTAAGTTGTTCCTTATTTCTTTAAAAAGCATTTTGTGATTGAATCTCATACATGCTTCCCCTTTTTACTGTTGCCTCTTGGATTTTATCATTATACCAAAATGCTATTGATTTTTGTGACTTTATGGTTTTCTTTTTTAAGTATATAATAAATTCAACCTAAAACTTTCAAAGCTATCCTTCTTGTATGTGATTCCTTCTGACATTTCTTATTTTCTCTTTGTGCATTAGAAAATTACTTTATGACTCTTTTTTCTTTCTTTTGTTCTTTTTTTTTCAAACCTATCCCTGGCCTCTCTCTTCTTCCTAGCTCCTACCACCTCTAATCTAAAGCAAAGCAAAACAAAACAAACAAAAAGCCCCTATAAACAAATAAGCATAGTCAAGCAAAACAAATTCTCACTTTAGCCATATCCAAAAACTCATGTCTTATTTGTCATCTTGGATCAATCATTTCTATGTCAGGAAGTGGGTAGAATGCTTCATCATCAATACTCTGGAATCTTGGGTGATAATTAACATTGGTCGGAGCTCTTAAGTCTTTCAAAGATGTTTTTCTTTACACTGTTGTTATTGTATAAATTGTTCTTCATTCTGTATTAGTCCATGGAAGTCTTCCCAGGCTTCACTGAAACTGTTCCTTTTGTCATTTCTATAGTGCATGAAGGTGACCAAAAGGCCTCAAACCCATCAGTGAGTTAGGGAGATGTCTACCCCAAGCATGTGAAGACTTCTCCAGTG